AGAGAGAGAGAGAGAGAGAGAGAGAGAGAGAGAGAGAGAGAGAGAAACAGAGACACAGAGACAGAGACAGAGACAGCCAGGCAGCCAGGCAGGCAGCCAGGCACACACAGAGACAGAGATAAAGAGAAAGACAGAGGGAACAGATAATAAATTTTATTATTTGTAGAAGGTTGGGTTTGGGAGAAGTGTGTGTGTGTGTGTGTGTGTGTGTGTGTGTGTGTGTGTATTAGGTTGGTTTGTTGAGACATGAGAATACAGTCCAAGCTAGTCTTGCACTCCCTACATAGCCAAGGCCACCCTTCAACTACACACACACACACACACACACACACACACACACACACACACCAACAGTGTTTCTCTGTGTAGCCCTGGCTTTCCTGGAACTCACTTCGTAGACCAGGCTGGCCTCGAACTCACTGAGATCCGCCTGGCTCTGCCTCCCGAGTGCTGGAATTAAAGGCATGCGCCACCACTGCCCGGCTAGCTAGGTTTGATCATGGAGGCGAGAGGGGCATGAACAGGGCTCACTGGAGTCCCCATGCAGCGGTTCCTGCTATGCTCGCTTCAGGGCGTGAGGTGTCCCAAGGCATATCTGAACTGAGGACGCTCCCAAAGTGTGTTTGCTAGTCAGGTGGGGAGGGCAGGGGGATTGCAGGCCATGTGCGTCCCCCCTCTCCAGTTTCAGGAGGTTCCCGAACTGGTGGCTCGCTTCGACGGCCTGGTAGACACACAGGCGGCATTGAAGCTGGCAGAGCGCAAGCGACAGGTGGAGCTGGACGAGACCCGTGCTCAGCTGCATCGTCTTCGGGAAGCCAAGCAGGATGAGCTGCTGCGTCTGGGGCAGCAGCGTGCGCAGCTGCGAGAGCAGTTGGAGGTGGCCCGCGAGCGCAAGCTGCAATGGGTGCGCGTCCCCGGGGCTGGAGAGGACCCACCTTCTGCGCTAACCAGAGGGCTGGGGCACCACGTTGCCAAGGGTACCAAAGACAGCAGTGCTTGCTCCCGCCCGGCAGAACACCTGGGTGAACCTGTTGGGTGGTGGGGCCTCCCGGACCCAAGGGCCAGGTCCTGACTCAATGGCGTTCTGGGCGTGCGTTCCGCAGGAATCCAAGTGGACTCAAATCCAGAACACTGCAGCGGCCAAGACGCTGCTCCTGGGACGCACTCGGATGTCTGTGCTCAACCTGTACCAGCTTGTGTGCCTGCGCCAGAGTCAGCCCCTAACCCTGGATGTGGAGGACACCGAGGGGCAGCTAGAGGAGGTGAGGAAACCCCACTGTTGGGACACCTCAGGATTAAGGGTCCTTTATAGGTGTGGGTTCCTTCTAGTGACCTACTATGGGGCCAGGAAGCTACACCCAGCTGCCCGGGTTGTAACCACCACTATCGCAAGTGGATCTGTGTGCCCTTTGCAGGGTTGGTTAGAGTCACTGAGGCCACTGTTTGACCATGAATTGCCCTGACTCTTGTGATACATGTGCCACATCCAGGAGGGTCCTAGGGTCATGTGAATCAGGCCGCCTTTGGTAGAGTCTCATAGAGCCCAGGTTTACCCCAGGCTCACTATGTAGCAGATGACCTTGAACACTTTACTGTCTGGCCTCCATCTCCTGAGTGCTGGGATTACAGGTGTGCCATGCATCGGGTTGGGCTGAGTTAATCCTTCCTCAGTGTGCCTCTGCTCCTGGGAGGAAGGCTCAGAGGAGGATGCTGGGCCTCTCCTGCCCACTCTCCTCCAGGCCAGGAATCAGGCTGCCCGGAGCAGTGATGAACTGTCTGTCACCAGGCCTCGCCGTCACTGTTATGACTAGGGATGGCTAGTCTGCTTTTTCCTCCTTTGGTGCTGGGTCCTCAACATGTACCCAGGTGATGGACATGAAGAGGGTCCCACAGGCTGCTGTGAGCTTGTCCTCAGTTCACCGCAGTGGGCCCTATGAGTGTCTGTTAAGTTCATGTAAACGAACAATTAGCACAAGATAAAGGACGCCATGGAGATGAGGTTAGAAACCAGTACACAAGCCTGATCCAAGGGAAATGTCACTTGATGGTGGGTGGGTCACTGGGTTGGCAAGTAGCCAGCTGTAAATCGGCAAAGTTGTTACAAATCATTTGGTGGCTGGGCATGGTGGCGCACGCCTTTAATCCCAGCACTCAGGAGGCAGAGGCAGGTAGATCTCTCTGAGTTCAAGGCCAGCCTGGTCTACAAAGCGAGTTCCAGGAAAGGCGCAAAGCTACACAGAGAAACCCTGTCTCAAAAAACAAAAAACAAAAAACAAAAAAAAAAATTAAGTGGCATACACCTGTATTCCCAACACTCAGGAGACTGAGGCAGGAGGATTGTCCTGAGTTAGAGAACAAGTTGAGCTGTACTTGATAACAAACAAAACAAACTTTTGAGAGGCTGTATCCGGACGCCATCAGGGCCTCTCCAGTGGAGTATCCAGGCCCACCAGTGACCTCAGCATCCCTGTGGGGGGGTGGGGAGAGGGTGTGATCCGGCCTTGTCACCCCTGCCCCCAGGTGAAGCTGTTTATCATGGACCTCTCCGCCACACTGGCCAGCCTTGCCCAGGCTGAGCCTGCAGCCACTGCCTCCTAGTCCGGCCACGCGAGCAGCAAAGGGGACCTGGGGACCAAGTCCCACACTTCTTGGTGTGCAGGCTCAACGCCACGGCTCTCTGAATGTGCTTCCTCCCGGGCAAGATGGAGCCGTGCCAGCCCATGCCATTATGAGACTTCCAGAGGACACTCAACTAAGAAGACCGTCAGCAGGGGCTGACAGCTGTGCCGGGTCCCTAACTCGCCACACAGGCTGGGGACGGGCCTCTCTCCCAGCAGGCTGGGGGGACATCAGACAAGCTTCGACAGGGCTGGTATACTCCAAGATGGGCACTTGCTAAGCAAAGTGGAGGTGACTGCTGGTGGCATCAGCTCTTTGGGGCCCCAAAGGGTCGTCCCCAGTGTGTGTCTGGCCTGCGCTGGGGTCCAGCTGCTGGGGGATGCTTGACCTTCCCAGAACCTCAAGCAAGAGGTGGGGTAAGCCACCAGGGGGGTGGGGGACATGAAGATGACACAGGCTGGTTCTCACCTCCACGTGCGGGAAGGGCAGCGCCGCCCTCAGAGCCTGCCACCACGCTGCAGCGGCCCCGAGCTGCCTCGAGCAACCGGGTCCAGGGTCTCATTTTTCTCATCTCAGTAGACAGTGGAGGCCACTGCACCCCGGTGGCCAGGTGGGACACAGGCATGGCCACGTGCTCTCAGTCACCGCGACAGCCGAGACCTGCCACTCTCCCTTCCAACACCCCAAGGACACCACACTCCTGGCTATTAGAAGTGTTCCACAAAAGTTTATTACATTAAAACCCAAAGCTGGGTCGGAGACAGCCAGGGCCCACATCCACATGGTCCTGACTTCTGAACCCTGAATTCAGGGAAGCAGCAGCAGCTGAGCTTGGTCTGCCTGTCTTGGCTGGTGGACTCCTATGCATCCTTCAAGACCCAATCCGATGTCCCATCAAAAGCACCCTCTGCTTTCTGTGGCCATACAGCACGGCTCCTTATCGACTCTGCCAACAGCAGCACATGGGAACACGTCCCTGATGTCCACACCATGGCTACCGGCTACTCGGCCCCAGGGCCGAGTCTGGCTCCTTACATCCTCTTCCTCATCTTGCCCTTCCTCGAAGGGGCACCCCGGCCGAAGGCGCCCTGGCGCAGCTCTTGAGCTCGGCGGCGGTTGCGGGCTGAGAGTTGCTTCAGGCCCCCGCGCTGTAGGAAGCGCTGCTTCTGGGCCTGACGCCGCTGCTTCAGGATCTGTTCCTTGGTCTTGAGTTCTGAGCGCGGGCGGCCCGCGGGGGCGCCGGGCGCTCGGGGCAGAGATGCACCTGTCAGCACAGAGATTTGGGGAGCTCAGGCTTGGACCCACAGAGCTTGAGCGGGCTCCAATCCCACTGGCTGGACCAGAGAGGCCAAACACCAAGTGACCTGGCAGCCCGGCCAGGCCACATTTTCAGTGTCAACTGCCTAGGTATCACCAGCTCCTTCAGCCAAAGCCGCCGCCGACGCCAGCTTTGAAGAGGGACTTCCTGAACAGTGGCTGCCACAGAGATCCCGTCCCAACCCCTGTGGAGACTGGTGCTCCAGGTAGGTAGGAAGCGGTCAAGCACCAGCTTCCACCTCTCTAGGTGTGCACACGGGGAACCATCATCCATCCACCCTGCGACTAGCTACCCCAGGTACCACCATTTGAGTGCGAGAGGCCAGGGACCCTGGTCTGCTGGGTGGGCTGAGACAGAGAGGTCAGGGCAAGTTACCACAGGACTGGGGCGGGGCTTTGTTCATGGGGTACACGGGCAGTCTGCGTGTCCTAGCCATGACCATAGTCACCTCTGCACCTCTATTCAGACCACATCACCTGCCCTGCCCACCTTGACTCCGCCCTCGCTTTCCACCTCTGCGGGGCCCCGGGCCTCGCTGGTTGGAGGGCCCTTCTTCCTCAGAGTCCCGGTCATCGATTTTCTGCTTCTGCTTCCACTTCTGGTAGCTGAGGATCTCATTAAGGAAGTGACCTGTAGCATCCAACTAGGTTCAGGCCCCTTAGAAAGGGCAGCAAGGGAAGCCGCCCCGCCCCGCCCGCCCCCAGATGAAGCCCCTCCTATAGGAGCGGCAGCTGGAAGCCGCCCCGCCCCCAGATGAAGCCCCTCCTATAGGAGCAGCAGCTGGAAGCACCCCGCCCCCAGATGAAGCCCCTCCTATAGGAGCGGCAGCTGGAAGCACCCCGCCCCCAGATGAAGCCCCTCCTATAGGAGCGGCAGCTGGAAGCCGCCCCGCCCCCAGATGAAGCCCTCCTATAGGAGCAGCAGCTGGAAGCCGCCCCGCCCCCAGAGGAAGCCCCTCCTATAGGAGCAACAGCTGGAAGCACCCCGCCCCCAGATGAAGCCCCTCCTATAGGAGCAGCAGCTGGAAGTTGCCCCGCCCCCAGATGAAGCCCTCCTATAGGAGCAGCAGCTGGAAGCACCCCGCCCCCAGATGAAGCCCCTCCTATAGGAACAGCAGCTGGAAGTTGCCCCGCCCCCAGAGGAAGCCCCTCCTATAGGAGCAGCAACTGGAAGTTGCCCCGCCCCCAGATGAAGCCCCTCCTATAGGAACAGCAGCTGGAAGTTGCTCCGCCCCCAGATGAAGCCCCTTCTATAGGAACAGCAGCTGGAAGCCGCCCCGCCCCCAGATGAAGCCCTCCTATAGGAGCCCCACAGTCCCTTGGCCCCCTCCGCAGCCCTGTCTGTCCCTCAGGATACAGGTCACGCTTGTAGGAGCTGCTGATAAACCGGCCACTCTCTGTCTTGATCTTCTTCTTGTCCTCCTGGCCTGACTGCCCCACAAACCGCTTCTTCTTCCGATCCCTGAGGGAGAGGGAGGTGGAGTCTACTGCGGGGTACCTGTTCCCTTATCTGCCCCTCACATGTAGTCAGTAGAGGATTAAAGAAGACAGCCAGCCAGTCACACTTGCCCGCACGGAACACTCCAAGTTCCTCGACCACCTCACCACCTTTCCTGGACAGCCCAGGTCTCAAAAGGAGAGACTTGGGGTTTGATCCCCATACCACTTCCCAGACCTCAGTGTTTGGGAGGCTGCATCAGAGTCCTCCTGGGCACAGCGAACCAGGGAGATGGGGCAGGCAAAGAGTCACCACCCCGCTCTGGGCAGCCAAATGGGGACAGTGAAGGCCACGCCCAAGGACACAGGGACTGCCCGGCACTTCCTGACCACTTACCACCTGAGCTGCTGCCGACCTCGGCTCATGTTCTGCGCTTCATCCCCCATCAGGTCAAGGACCGCACCAGCCACCTGCTGCTCAAAGGCCCCTCCAGTCCCACTGACGCTCAGCCTGCAGATTCAAGTGGGAGGAGATTTAATGGGGCCCAGACCCTCTTTATGCACCTAACGCTGGACCACAAGCTCACACTCACCCCCGCTCACTGTCGAAATCCTTGGGCCGGTAGGGGACGTAAAACTCCTGGTCTCGCTGACGGGCCTCCTCCCTCCGCCTCTTGGCTCCTCGGTTGGGTCCTGGCTTTGGCCGCTTCTGGCCCACCACCTCTGTGAAGACGTCCTGGCAAACGGGAGCCCAGTGTCATCCTTGGGGCCTCGGGGAGCCCCACTAGGACCAAGGGACCAGGGCTTCCCTTTTTATCGGCCAGAAAAACTCTCCTGCAAGACCCTGGGTCTTCATCTGCACACACAACAGCCCCTGCTTTGGGGAGCAGGGCCAGGCAGAAGTCGCAGGATGGATGCTAGCAATAATGACACCGTGCTCCAGTACCAGCCCTGACCCTACCCGGCTCTGGCTGCTTCTGTACAATAGGATGCACACCAGGGCTTGTGGCTGGGCCTTCCTTCAGATGAAGGCCCTCTGTGCCTCAGTCAGACAGGAGAGATGGAGTGGACGTGTAGGAGGAGGCAGGCCACTGCCTTGTGAGTGGGATACTCCAACATCCTCCAGCCCCACTTGCTGGGGCTTCTCTCCTACCAGGACCTCAGGCTGTACTGCTTAGCCAGAGCCCAGGCCACAACATCTGGGGAAGGGACTCTGTCTGTCTTCCTTTTTTTTCCAGATTTTCGTACGTTTCGTTCGTGCGTGCGCACGTTTAAGAGGGTGCTAGATTCCTTGGAACGGGAGTCACAGACAATTGTGAGCCACTTAATGTGGGTGCTGGCACCTGAACTCCAATCCCCTGCAAGAGCAGTGAGGGCTTTTTTTTTTTTTTTGAGACAGGGTCTCAGTATATAAAGTTGCTATTTACAGGCTGGCCCTGGACTCACAGAGATCCGCCTGCCTCCGCCTCCTGAGTGCTGGGATTAAAGGCGTACGCTGGTATATCTGACGCAGCACGGGCTCTTAACTGCTGAGCCAGCTCCGCAGCCCTTCCTTTGGTTATCACTGTAGCCTAGGCTAGCCTGAGACAGCATCACTCTGTAGCCTAGGCTAGCTTTGACCTTGTGGCTGTTCTCCTGCCTTAGTCTCCACACCCCTCTCCTGCAGACTGTAAGCTGAGGCTGTGCTCCACTTCCACAGACAGGAGATCGGGGCGTGGGGCTGCACCACTGTCTGCCCCAAGGGCTGCTGGGACCTGGCTGTCTCTCCCTCAGCTCCAGCTGCCCCTGCAGCCCACACCTGCACACTGTCAGCCATGTCCTCGTCTTCCTCTTCCTTCTGAGGCGGCTCCTTTTGGGGGACTGGGTCAGCTGGGCCCTCCTGCCTCACGTGCCGTCCCTGCTGAAAGCTGGCGATAGCTTTCCGGTCCCTCTGCCGCTTGGCGCGCATCATCTGGCTGCTTGGGTCCCGGCTCGAGGCATTGATCTCAAAGATGGTCTGTAAAAGGGATGCCAAGTTCACTGCCTACCACCCGCCCACCCCAGCCCCCTCCCAAGCCGGCTGAGACCTGTATGGGTACTCTTCAAGTCTTCACCGTGGGAGGTGGGACCCTTGATATCAGTACGGCCCAATTAGAGAGAGACCCAGAGAAAGTGGGTGTCTTGCCCAAGGCCACACAGCTAGGAAAAGCCAGAACCCAGACCTCGCTTGCACTGAGGCACCTGGCTTTGAAACCACTGATCCACTGTGTCACCCACTGGCTGTTTTTGCTACTGGCCGCCTGGGCTCTCCTTGCCTCTGTACATGAACCCCACAGCACATGCCCACCCGTGGGTACCCCGAAGTGAACGGGGAGGGAGGGTCAAGGCTGAGGATGGACCGCTCTTCAGGCCTCTGAAAGGCAGAAAACACATCACTCCCTTCAGGAGATTCAATCTATGGGTGGGGATCCCCGGATCTGCTGTGGCTCACAGGAATGCTCCAGAACAAGGGGGGATCTACGGTGGCCGACAGAGCCAGTGTGACATGTCAGGAAGCTGCGAGCTCAGAAGGAAATCCCCGCTGTGCGGCCGGCCCTCCAGCCACTCCGTCCACTCACTGTGCGGGTGCGGTAGTTCTTGATGCTGTCCACCAGCCTCAGGCGCTGCAGTTCCCCCTGCTCAAATCGGGAGCCTGGAGGGCAAGGGCGTGTGTGAGGCCAGGGAGGGGCTGTGGAGGGCCAACCCACCCTCACCTACTCCACCCTGCAGAATCTCACTGAAGAGTGGGTGCAAGCCCAGCCCCGCCAGGTCCAGCTCCTTGGCTCTCTTGATGGACTCGGGTGAGGGCGCTGGACGTG